ATTGATATTTGGCCGGGCCCCTATACAAAGATAGACACTTTTAAAATCCATTTTTCCCCTATGTCTCATATCTTGGAATATGAGAGACTTACATAAAAACCAGGCATATCGTCAGACTGGCCAAGAGGAGACGAACTGTTTGATAGGTCACTCTCCTTGACTGAAATACATAGGAAAGCAGAAAAGTAGATCTCGTGAACCATTCAGTGTAGAATTTCATATTTCATATCTAATCAATCCTCAGACGTGTCTGCATAATAATCTACCCGCGGGTGGAGTGTCACTTGTGCATATGGAAAGTTATGAGCCAAAATATGAACTAGAAGAGATTTTGGCTCTAGTTTAGTTCTATGCCCAGACCTTCCTGCCCTAAATAGGGTATTGGTCCTTGACTTCAGAGACACCACCTGCTGGGGAACTACAAAATGAGCTGTCAGGCCTAAGAAAGTTAAGTTGAAGAATTCTCCCTTTTTAACATCAGAACTACCTGGGGAGACCCACACCCTTTTGCTCTGAAACTAGATCTGCTAACCCAGGACTTTGGGAAGTACTTTAACCCTCTAACTTCTCTCTGTTATCTCTTTGCTGTGCTGTTGTTCTCTGTATATTTATATATATATTGGTTACATCTTTTTTCTGTAAATATTTTTATTGCACCTGTTTGACCTTTTAGTAATAAATCTTTTCTTCTGAAAGTGTTGAACTGTTTCTATAGCTCTTTATTGCAATTTACGAATTCCTGCCTCTAAAAGAGCACTACTGTGTTTGTTTAACCCTCTGTGTAACCGGCCTGTGGTGACCGTGTTATACAGACGATTATCTCAACCATTATAGTGTTATAGCTGATATTGCAGAGTTTCCTCTTTCTCTGTACAAAAAGGAGGTGGATGGCAGTGTGAAGGGTTAATTGCGTAATTAACCTGACCCAGTAACAATCGTATTCAGGCTGCCGGTACATAGATTGTGGTCCAATTAGCTGGAAAATCGTTGTGCAGGGTGCAGCTGGGTGTGGCATTGTTACGCACGTGACATCGCGGTTTTAGATTGGCTTGTCCTTCGGTCACGAGTTTGGTGAGAAGGGCTGGGGTCTGACGCCGCGTTCGTCACATAATGATGGCAGCGATCGTGGGATCATCACATATTGGTGGCAGCGATCCTGGGATCATCACATATTGGTTGGCAGTGTACGTGGTATAGTTCCATTAGGAGCTTCAGGGCAGTGTTAAAAAATTGGCTCTGCACTGAAGGATTGCAACCTTTGTGGAAACAGTCCTTAGAAACAAGCGGTGCATATTTTTTATATATATATATATATATATATATATATATATATAGAGAGAAAGAGAGAGAGAGAGAGAGAGAGAGAGAGACAGAGAGTGACATATAGAAACAGCTCCTTCCTTTTTCTACTTTCTATTCTATCTTTTGCTTGCAATTATGCCTGGTGACGCAGAATACAAGAAAATGAGCAAAAGTGATTTGAGTGCGTAATGTGCCTCACGGGGAATGGACGTCGGTGGCAAAACCCATGAAGATTTGATTCGGGATCTACAGGAGCATGATAGCCGAGCAGATCAGAACTCGGGGGAACTTGACCATGACGGGGTTCCCGCTGCCTACGTTCCCAGTGGCTCAGAGATGGCCTCGCAGGATGGGAATACAGAGAATGAAACTGGAGGATCACCGAATTGTATCGTCACACCACCGCCTGAGCGGGCCAGCACCGGAGGGCCTGTAACCAGCAGAGACTCTCCTCAGATGCAGAAAGCCCTGAAACGCCTCATGGAGACAGATCTTGAGGCACACCTGCGGTTCTTTGAACACCAGGCTGACAGAGAAGCTGCGGAAAGCCAAGCAGCGGCTGACAGAGAAGCTGTGGAACGCCAAGCTGAAAGAGTGGCTGAGAGAGAGACGGTGCAGAGGGAAGCTGATCGTTGGCACGAGCTGGACATGACGAGGCTCCAGCAGCAGCAGCGACAGGGTCAGAACCTCAGATCCTTAGAGCACAGGGACGCCACTCTGGCCGTGGGCACCGCAGCCCAGTGATGGAAAAAGATAGTGACATTGACACGCATTTACTGTCATTTGAAAAAATGTGCCATCAGTACCATGTGCCCCCAGCTCAATGGGCTCGGTACCTGATACCAGGGCTACGAGGCAAGGCCCTGGACACGTTTGTTGAATTGCCAGAGGGGCAGGACGACAATTACAAAGTTTTAAAAGATGCCATTGTCCGGAAGTACCAGATGACCCCGGAAGTGTACCACAATCGGTTCAGGTCCATGCAAAAGGGACCTGGGGACTCATACACTGATGTGGCGAGTCACTTACGCACCACATTCCGACAGTGGACTAAGGGACTGAAAGCTGACTCCTACAAGTCTTTAGAAGATCTCATGATACGAGATCAACTCTTACACATCTGCCCGGCCGACGTCAGACAGTTTGTCTTGGAGAGAGAGCCCGCATCTACTAAAGCTGCAGCCGATTTGGCAGATACCTTCGTCTGACCCTGGCAAGCCTCCTCTGAACGGCTGGAAAGGAGGGAAATCGCCCCTAGCAACCCCTCCTACGTCGGTGAGTCAAGCTTCCCCTTCGCCCACACCTGCAGCACTTGGAGCCAAGCCATCTCTGCCTGACAACCGCAGATGTTTCACCTGTGGGAAAGCCGGACATCTCAGGACACAGTGTCCTGAGCAGAAGCAGACGACATCATCTGGCCAGCCGGCCAGCAACTCTTCTTCCGTGCAGTTCGTTTGCAGGAAGATGCAGGTAACCCCCGCCAACTTGCAGCCAGTCACTGTGGGCAACCGGTCTGTAACTGGTTTCTGGGAAACCGGGGCAGAAGTCACCTTGATCCGGCCAGAGGTGATTGAGCAAAGGAACCTCATCCCAGGAAAGTTCCTTAGCCTCACGGGAGTTGGGGGGACCCGTTCACGCATACCCTGTGCAAAGGTATTCATAGATTGGGGTGCGGGAAGGGGGATGAGGGAGGTGGGGGTCTCGGATGAAATTCCCACACCTGTTTTTTTGGGTGCTGATCTAGGCACTCTTGTTTCTTATTATGCCCCTGCCGAGAATACCCAGAAGGTCCCCGTGGAACTCTCTGGACATGCCAAGGTACTGTGTGCAGATGTTGGGGTAATGTCTGGGCCACCTGTGGATGGACAGAGGGAGGGGGCTGGGAATGCGTGGGGCTACAGGATTCTCCATTAGCTAGAGAACTAGAAGAAATCCCCTTGCCTGGGGAGGTATCGAGCTCATGTGTCATTGATATTATCAACGTGACTGTTGATAATGATAATGATGACGATGATGCTGATATTGATCATGTCAGTAATGTTGATGATAATGTTGGTAACGCTACTGATGATTATGATGGTCATGATGAAACAAATGATGACAATGATGCTGATATTGATAATGTCAGTAATGTTGATGGGAATGTTGGTAATGCTAATGATGATTATGATGGTCATGATGAAACAAATGATGCATTTTCATTGTTGGGAGTCACCCACGCTGCTGAGAAGGGTAAACAACAGCCGGCTGGGACTTATAGTTCCACGTGTAAGGCAGCCCTGAAAAGCAATCCACAAATTACCTTCAGAGGCCAGCTAGCTGAGAGCTTCCCTGCTGAGAAGGGTAAACAACAGCTGGCTACTACTTGTAGTCCCAAGTGCAGGCAAGCACGGGAAAGCCATTCACACAGGGATTTCAGCCTCCAGCTAGATGTGAGCTTCCCTGCTGAGAAGGGTAAACAAAGACCTGACAGGGAGGATGGAATGAATGGCCTATTCACTGGGGGATTGGAGCCTGAAAGCATTTCATCTGATCTAACTTGTCCTGGTGTGTCACCAGGCAGACAAACATGTGTACTAGGCAGTGACAGCACACCTGGATTGGAAGTGCAAGGGACATCATTGGAGCTGATCATCGGATCTCAGAGAGGGGGCTGCGGCCCTCAGCTCCAATCACTTCTCTTGTCCACTCAGGTACAGAAGCTGCTGGCAATGCCTATGGTAGATGGTGTCTGGGTTCTGGGAAACCCGGGGAGAGCTCACTGTGCGGTTCAGGAGTTAGATGGCCGAATGCATGCCTCCCTCCTGCCTTCCACCAACCTCATCTCCCAGGAGGTGCAGGCTGAATGGGCCAAAGGGACAGAGGGAATGGCGCAGTCAGGAATCCAGGGTCAGCTCGAGTCTGGGCATCTCCGGTAGTCTCGATCCCCAAACAAGATCAGATGAACAGGCTTTTTGAGGACCTTGGAAAACTGAGCGCCAGCCCTGTGGGTGTGGCACACCCATGCCCGGTGGCCATGAAGTAATGAAGCATCCAGACGGTGCCCGCTGTCTAACCATCATGGACCTGAGCAGGGGGTATGGGCCACAATCTCTAACCCAGGAGGCTCAGGATGAGCCAGCCTTCCCTACCCCATATGGCTTGCCTGAATTCACAGGAAAGCTAGTTGGGGTTGAGAACGCACCAAACACCTCCCCAGGGGTCAGGGATGACCTGCAATGCAGAGTGGAACTTGGTGCAGTTACCCACTTTAGTGGCCTTGCAGTGTTTGGCCCTGTCTGGGAAGAGCAACTTGGGCCCCTGTCACTAGTCAGGAACCAACTGCCCGTGCCTAGTCTGACAGTCAAGATGGGTAACTGTCAGAGGGGCATGTCAGTGGTTCAGCTTTGGGAACCACTGGTAGGAAAAGACCCCCAGAGGTCTGGGCATGGGGAGACTCAGGCAGTTGTGGCTTGGCCTACTCCCCAGGCCAAAAAGCAGGTTATGTCAGTCGTGGGTGCAGCTGGCTACGGTAAGACGCCTGGGTGCAACTATCCTGGCTCAGCTGGACCTGTGACTGACCTGGCAGACAGGAAACTGGCGGAACTGGTGTCCTGGATGCTAGCAGGTAAAGAGGACTGTTCATCTTGGATGAAGGTACCTGTGGACACATCTGGGAGGCGAGTTCCAGAATTCGCCTGTCCGTTTCTGGTGCACACAGGCGCCACTACTAGCAAGGATGGGGCACTATTCCTCCAAATAATATCAAGGTTGGGGCACTATTCCTCCCACTGACACCAATGATGGGGCACTATTCCTCCCACTGACACCAATAATGGGGCACTATTCCTCCCCTGTCACCAATGATGGGGCACTATTCCTCCCACTGAAACCAATGATGGAGCACTATTTATCCCACTGATACCAATGATGGGGCACTGTTCCTCCAAATAATACCAATGATGGGATAATATTCCTCCCACTAATACCAATGATGGGGCACAATTCCTACTTCCACTGACTACAAGCACTATGTCATTTTTTTTACTCCTACTGAGCGCTACGACATTTTCTACTCTCACTGGTTACAGTACAGCCCTCCTAAAGTCTGAAGGACAGTAAATCGTCCCTTTGTTTAGAAAGTTTGGAGACCCCTGCTTTAGAAGGAATAAAAAAATAATCCAAGGTGAGAATAAGTACCATGCATAGGTGAGTAAAACATATAGTCCCTTATTGTTAGATGCACAACACTATGCATGCACCTGTAATGTACCACCTGGCGGTACCTTTAGCAACCCACGGGATAGGATTCCCCAGAGCGCAGAGTCTAAGTCCCAGTCTGCTTGTTCACCAGGGCCCCTGATGGTGGGGATGGACTTGGAGCAGACGGAGACCAGGTCGCGGCCCCTGAGTACACCCACCCGTGGTAGAGGGATCCGCCAGTGGTATCTGCAGGATAAGAGCCTGATGTGAAGAGGCAGATAGGTCCAAGCAGGACAGATGGATGGATGGCTGAGCAGGAGCGTGGTCAGACAGGCCGGGTCGGTAACCGTGGGGACAGCGTGGTACAAGGCAGCAGGCAGAGAATAGTCGGGTCACTCGCCGGGTCAGTAACGGAAGGTCAGATCCAATGAGGGGCATCAAAGGAGAGGTCAGATCATACGGCAACCAGTGTCAGCGCAGAGTGGATTTAAATACCGCGCCCTGCGCTGTCATTGGTGACAGGCACGCGCCTGCGGTCCCGAGTGCGCATGGGCGAGTTCCGCTGTCGCCGCGGCCGTCCAGGACCTAGTGCCTGCACGCCAGTGCGAATCGGCACACTGCGCCTGCGCCAAACCACACGCCGATGCGGCTCCTGACAGCACCAGACACAGCAAGTGAAATTCCGATTTTATTTTTTTTTTGGTTTACAAACAATTTTATTGTATAAAAGTAGACTGTAAAACAACAGTACATTTTCAAATAGAACTTACAGCAAAAACAAGGCACTTCTGAAAAGTACAATACAGGAAAGTATATTAATGTAAGAGAGAGAAGGAATAGAAAAAAGTAGATTGCAAGTACATGAAATGTGTAAATGATAAGGTAGGTTAAATGATACATCTGTCAACAGTATATGCCATTCAACTTTCACTGGGAATGTTATTAATCATGCAATAAATGTCTATAATCCCTCCATGACTCCCATTTTTTATCAAATAAGTGCATCTTATTCAGTAGGGTATAATGAATGCGTTCCATGAGCATTACAGTATCAATTCTATGTAAAACGGAGGTCAAGGGTACAGCATTGGACTTCCAATGTAAAGCAATAGACCATAAAGTGGCAATACATATAGTATGTATCAATCTCATGATGGCATCAGAGACCCCTGGGATATGAGCCCCCAATAGACAGGTCTGCATAGACAATCGTATCTGGGTACCCGCCAGTGAGGTAGCCACCTCAGATATTTTGCACCAAATCAAAGATATATGATCGGGCAATCCCAAAATATATGAACCAAAGTTCCTGTGAGGCCACAGCCCCGGAAACATAAGGGGGACGTTTGTGGGAACAGTACATGTAGTCTTGATGGGGTGTAATACCATCTGGTTAAAACCTTAAGGGCCGTCTCACGAACAGAAAGAGATCTAGAACACTGACATATGTTATCCACCATGGAATCCCAATCCTCATCCGAAAAGGTGATACCACTATACTCATCCCATTTTTGTCTGTATAAAGGGGGGTGTATGAGAAAGACAGGTCAAAGAATGATGATAAAGATCAGAAATAAGACCCCTACCTCTGGGAGAGTCACGGCTGATACGTTCAAAAAAGGAAATCGGGGAGGATGGTATAAAGGCCAAAATGTGAATTTAAAAAGTGTCTAATCTGTCGGTAACGATGGTACTCACAAAGAGGGATATCAAAAAACTCGCGCAGCATATCAAAGGTAATGTACGATCCTCCTCTTTGGAAATCAGATAATCTGATAAGGGAACAGTCATACCACCAACGAAACGTCTGAGGGGAGGAAAAAAGCTGCAACAAAAGTAGGATTACCAAAAAATGAAACACTTGGGGGAATAAGAGAGACTAGATTCAATTTAATTTTGTATTTGGACCAAAGTGTCAGTGAATGGGTCACTATGGAGTTATGGAAAGTAAGCGATCGGGGGGAGATTTTGGACCACAAAATACCCGGGTAAGTAGAATGGGCGTATAGACTGAGATTCAAATTTGATCCATGGGGTCTGAGAGTTAATAGTTGCCCATTGTGATAGTTGCGCAAAAGGAGCCGAGAGGTAATATAGCCAAAAATTGGGAAGAACGAGACCTCCCATCCATTGTGAGCGGTACAGAATAGATGAAGCAAAACATGGACGCTTATTACCCCAGATAAAACTGTTAATAGTCCACTGAAAGTGGTCCAAAAACGTTTTTGAGGCCGGGACTGGAAGTGCTCTGAAAAGATAAAGTAGTTTAGGCAAGATATTAATTTTAACCGCCGTGACTCTATCCAGAAATTAAATATGGTAACCATGCCAAATCTTCAATAGAGTAGAGAGACGTGATACGCATGGTGGATAATTAGCAGCAAACATATCCGAGTATCTGGGAGTGAGATTAACACCCAAATAGGATATCCGATCCATGACCCAATGAAATGGAAAAGAACTACGGAGAAATGCACTTAGGGAATCAGGAACATTAACAGGCATAATCACCGATTTGGTAAAATTAACAGTGAGACCTGACGCTATAGCAAAATCGTTCAATACGGCACATAAATTAGGCAATGAAGTTAACGGGTTAGTAAGAAAAAGCATAACATCATTAGCATACATGCTTATTTTGAAATGTGAAACTGATAATGGATAGCCAGAAATATGTGATTTAATCGCCACTGCCAAAGGTTCCAACACCAGCGCAAACAAGAGGGGTGAAAGAGGACAGCCCTGACGGGTGCCTCTACCCAATGTAAAAAAGTCAGAATTACAGCCAGGAAGCCTTATTCTCGTTTTAGGAGAATCGTATAGGGCGTGTATACCAACCAAAAACCCATCCCTGAAGCCCATTTTCCGTAGCAAGGAAAATAAATAGGGCCAAAGCACACCGTCAAAGGCCTTGTTTCTGTCGAGGCTCATCAGCAGAACCTCTTTAGAATGTAAATTGGCATCTTGAATAACATTTAGAGTGAGGCGAATGTTATCAGTAATGAATCTGTCAGGAATAAAACCCGATTGGTCTGGAGAGACCAAAGAGGAGATAATAGGGACCAACCTGTCTGCCAAAATGCAGCTAAATATTTTCAGATCGTTATTCATTACTGAGATTGGTCTATAGTTTTGTGGTAAACAGTAGTCTTTCTGTGGTTTTGGTATTAAAGACACATTAGCCAACAGCATCTCCTCAGGGAACTTACCCCCCTGCAAAACATCATTAAATAATGTTATCAAATAGGGAGCCAATGTAGAGCGGTGAATCCGTCAGGACCCGGTGCAGTAGAACTTTTTAGCGAGCTAATCGCACGAGTTATTTCCTCCATAGTACAAGGGGCATTAAGAGAGGCAATCTGAGAAGGTGTAAGAGCAGGGAGGGGTATAGAATCCAGCCATGAGTCAGATGAAGGAAACAGAATCTGACTGGGGAGGAGCTAATAGACCAGAATAAAAGTTTTCAAAAATACCCAAAACTTTCTGAGGTAGAGATGAAATAGCACCCGAGGTGGTGCGCAACTTATAAACATGTGCCCCACAGAGAGTGGTTCAATTTCCTTGCAAACATAGTGGATGCTGAGTTGCTATGTAACAAGAACGAGGCCTTCGACCAGCGGAGAGCTTTTTCAGTCTTTGGGAAAGCAGAGTATTCAATTCTAAACGCTTTTGGGACAACAACTGTTTATTAAGAAGAGATGGATTAGCAATATGACTTCTATAATGTGCTTCTAATTCTCGGGTAAGAAGTAGTATTTGTTGCCATCCTTTTCTATTCCTGGATGAGGCCATGGAGATAAGGCGGCCACGTAGGACCGCCTTATGGGCTACCCATAGTGTGGCTGAATATATATTAGGAGTAAAGTTAGACTGAAAGTATTCCTGAATAGATGTAACCACCTCTTGGCGAGAGTCAATATCAGTAAGCATAGAGTCATTAAGTCTCCAAGAGAAGGGGGTAGGTGCCAATCCTATAAACGTAATAGATATAAGGCCATAATATCATGATCCGACCAGGGGCTCAGGTGAATACAAGCTGTCCTAGAATTCGCTAATAAAATAGGGGTACAATAGATATAGTCTAATCTGGCATAAGAGTCATGTGGGTGAGAATAAAATGAATAATCCCTGGCTCCCGCATTGTGCGCTCTCCAGGCATCCACCAACTAGAGGGCATCTAGTTTCTTAGTAAGGGATTTTGGGAGAGCCTGGGAAGATTGCGAGGAGGAGCTCCGGTCCAAAAGAGGGTTTGCTACCAGGTTAAAATCCCCACCCACCAATAGATGGGGGGACAAGAACCTTTCTAGAACGTCAAAAAATTTAGAAAAAAATTTAGGAAGCTTGTGCCGAATTCGGTGCATAGATATTTGCAATAGTAAGTTCTCGACCTAAAGGGTGCCTTTAAGAATGATAAACCTACTGTCTGGATAATGATATACATGTTGAACCTCAAAGGGGAATGAATTATGTAGAAAGATAGCTACTCCTCTACTTTTGGAGGAATGTAAATCCTGCCTATAGGATTTATGAAAATATGTCGTGTGTTTTGCGGCTGCAAAATGTGTTTCCTGTAATAAAATAATTTTAGCCCCTAATTGCTTATATTGAAGAAAGGCTGTTTTGCACTTATTTGGTGAATTGAAACCCTGGACATTATGTGAAATACATTGCATTACCATAGTATACAAAAGTTGTAGCTATCAGCATAAAAATACACATTGAAAAGACATCTCCCAGAATTATTTGGCTAGACATAAGGACCCGTGAGTCCACATCAGACAGATTTACAGGCAGTAGTACCAGCATAGGGGACATCCAGACC